AGGATGGATCCTCAATCGTTGATATCGATATCAGCCTTGCTTACGGAAAGAAACTTTTTCCTTATAGACGGCGCTGACATCTCATTATAGGCACCGCTCACAGTGGCGTTCCCAGGGCTTTGTTTTAGGTCCTCCCGTATTCCTCCTAGCGTAAGACAATAGTAGAATCTACTTTGAGCAGCGTTAATGGCGAGTTTGGCTGGGCGTCACGAAAGCACTTAATTGGAGCTTGTTGATTGCGTACGCCTGGGCACTTCACTCGATGCAACAAGAGTATAGCGACATACCTGACAAACCTTTTTGTAAGCTATAGCAATCACGGAAACGTAGTGAAAAATGTATGATTTATGTTTCATGAAAACGCGGTTATATTAGGATAAAGTAGAAGAGCGGTGCTTCTGACGTACGTTACAACCGAGGAAATGGTGGAGTATTCCGCGTCGTTGGAGCGCATTTTTTATTTCGTAAACACCAAGACTTCGAAGCTGATGTAAAGAAAGTTTAACAGGAAGTGGCCACCTCCTTCTAGGAATAGCTGGTTCACGGAAATACTACGAAAGGATGAAGCGCGAGAAATTACCGGAAGGCTATCCGTACCGCTATGTGAAACTCCGGTGTGTTAACAGTACGCGTACAAACGTTATTGGCAAGAAGTAGGGGAAGTTAAGACACGTACTGATATTTAGTTCATGCAGATAGGGGTAATTCTAAGAGCAATCGGAATGTGCGCGCGAAAATTTTCCGACATTTATCGTCTGTAGCTAAACCGTAAGGACTTGTTGTCAATAACAAAGAGACAGCTGAAACCTAAATCGGATTTTAGTATTTAGAAATCTTTTACAAGTTTTATAGTAACTTCTTATACTTATCGTACCTATTTTAATTCACACCCAGATAGATGCTGCTTCGAGTTTCGTTCGTCTCCTGGTTTCGGCGACGTTGTGCCGCTTGGATTGTTGTGTGTATGCTTCCATCGGTCGCCGGATCTCGGTTTATCGAGCAGCGTTCGATTTCTCCGTTCGCGCCATCAGAAATTTTGCTTTCTTTTCCCAATTTTTACCTGACTGTGAGAAGTCGCACCAAGGTCTTATACGCCGTAAACGTTTAGCGGTTACTACCCTTCTATCAGACAATATATTTGGTACCCTTGTCTATTTAATTGTTGTTGATAGTTTTTCTTCTCCTTTTACTTAAAGTCTAACTACGCTACCCTCGTGAACTGTGTGAATACTTTATTGGTTTTTCCTTCCCCAACTTTGCGGTTCCAAACCATCGTACTTGGTGTATGCAGGTGGTGACCATCTTGCGATATCTTGAGCTAACTTCGTAACCATCGGTGTTTGCATACAGCACCGCCCCTTTTTCGTCAAAGAGGGCCTCGGTGGTAAGTGACATGCTTGATGCAACATCGACTGAATCGCCATAATATAAAATTAAACCAGCCATCCTAAAGCGCACTGCAGCTTTAGCTGAAGCACGGCTAGACCTGTTGCTTTCAAACACGGAGCTTGTAGATCGCAGCCCGCCGCGGCTCTTCAGCACCTGGGCTCAATTGTGGGTTCCTCGACCTAGGGTGGTTCAATACCTCGAAAATGCTGGACTACTTGCCTTCCAGCAAACAACACCGCGATATTATCAGTCCTCGCTTGTGAGCTGTCACTGGACAAACTAGCCGAAGCAAACGATTAAGTCCATGAATGGTTCTTTAAATGTGCGGTGAATAAGCTAACTTAACTGAGCCCCACTAGTCAATCTGGAACTACCGCATTTGAGGATATTAGTAAAAGGCTTTCACGGTTAGAACTTGCTGCATCGATCATAGATGAGCTGATAACCGTAGGTTCATCACGAGGAGTAAACGCCGTGGTTAATCCCGCGCCAGGCGATCACGATCATACTGCTATTTCCACCGCCGTTTCTGTGCTGCTGCTGGTAATCGTCGGCCAGGTGGTAAATACCCGAAGACGTTGGATTCTTGGCAGGGAACAGACAACGCCAGTCTGTGATGACGACGACTCTTGTTAGCCAAATCATTAGTTGCCTGTTGTACCTTTTTGATTCTACCACCAAACTGCAAATTTTGGCGAATACTGGTAAAAGGTAAGCGTTACAGCGTGTTCCTAGTAACTCCTGTTCTGCGACCAACCGGAAGTACGTTACAGGCGGCTAACCAAAGCAAGCTCGTGACGTATGGCAAGAGACCACTGGCGCTTAACCTTGGATTAGGAGGTAACTTCCATTTCATCTTCCTGATTGCGAACGTACAGAAGTCCATTATTAGTATCGACTTTCTCAACAACTTCGGCGTTGTTGTAGGCCTGATATGTGGTAAGATGCGCCGGTTCTGTGTCATTGGCTGTTTTCGGGCAACTAGCTACGGTCAATTCCATCAAGCTGCACGCAGTTCAGCCTAACACGCCGCGCTACTCGTCAGTTCTGCAGCATGTTACTTCCCTGGTTACAGTATAGGAAACACTCTGGAGACCAAGCACGAGATGTGTCACAAAATCAACACAACTGGTCCCCTTTTGTCTGCCAAGCCAAGAAGATATCCAACGCTAAAGCTACAAGCGGTCAAGATGTTTGGGCGCATGCATAACCTCGGTGTTAACGGCCCATCCGGATGCTGCTAGACACCTCTGCATCATTTGCTGCCAAAGAAGACCAGCGCTTGAAGACCATGTGGCGAATATCGAGCACTCGAATAGCTCCCTGTTCCCGTTAAGCACTCGCTTTCTCATATCCATGATTTTTCTAGCAACCTGCACGTAAAGTCTCTTTTCCTCTCCATCGACCTAGTTTGTGCACACCAACACCTTCCCGTTGCTCCTGACGACATTCCATAGACCGCCATTACTGCGCGCTTTGGTCTCTATGGACTTGTGCGTCTGCCTTTGATCGCGAAACGGTGCCCAGGCTTTTTAGCGCTTCACTGATCAAATCCTTAGAGGGCTAGTCTTCGTCTTCGTCTACATCTACGAGCTTTAAAGCCAGTTCAAACTATGAGAAACGCCTGTCGCTTCTCCGTCTGACATTCAAGTGTTGTGTTCAGTGTGACGTGACGATTAACGTTGACAAGTATATTTTCTGCCAAACCAGTGTCGATTTTCTGAGTCAGCAGATCGACCGCAATGGTAATATTCCACATCCCCAAAACACGAAAGCAAGCTTGATGTACATAATGACTCAATCTTGCAAAGAGGCGGAAGCCTCTATCGTCCGTCTGACCTGACCTGACCTGACATGACCTATTACGGTTTCATCCCTGCATTTTCTACGCTACTTCAGCCTCGGATGGATTTACTAAACGGCAACTCCCGTAAGCTTGTGCCAACCCTAGAAGCAGCAGCAGCGTTTGATAAGGTCAAGCAAGCAATATCCAACGCCGCCACGCTTAGCCACATGAGAACTGAGTTTAACGCACATCTCGTTCTCAGGAGTGATGCAAGACCTACATCCGTTGGGGCAGTTTTTATGGTAGCTGATCAACAACCAACTCGACACTTTAGCGTCCTTCTTCAAAAAGCTTCGGTATGCTCAAATATGATACATCACCCACAGCCGCGAACTTTTAGCCATTTATCTTGTAACTTAACACTTTTGGCATTTACTTAAAAGAGGTACCTTCACTGCTTTTGCGGATCCAAAGCCGCTGTTCATCGCTTTCTGTGGTTCCTCTGATCGATTTTCTTTTCGTGAGAAACGTCCTTTAGACTACAGATCGCAATTCACAACAGACAGTTGGCATGTTGATGCGTCTAACAAAACTGTTGTTGAAGCAATGTCTCGCTTTGACCTTCACCATATCACACGCCAAGCTATGAACCTCGAGGATGTTGCGGCTCATCAAGAAGAGGATCCTGAGAGCGCCTGCTTGAAAGCAAACACTTAATTGTAAGACTTGCAGCTGCCTATGGTTAAGTGACTCCAAATTCTATGGTAATATATCGACTGAAAAGCCAGGGCCTTTAGTTCCACAGCAGTACTGGTGAATTGTTTTGATCAGCAGCCTGACCTTCCTCACCCTGACATTCGAGCCAAGGCAAGTGTCGACCACTATTTATGGCACAATATGAGTTCCGACATCCAATAGTGAGCAAAGCATGGGAGCACCTGTTGGGATAGCAGGATACATCGCCACAAGATCACTGCACCTGGCACCTTTAAGTTACACGACGACGGATTTGAACATGTGCATCATGACGTTGTTGGATCCCTTACCCATCCAACGGTATCCACTGTTTGCTGACCTATATTGATCCTTTCATACAATGGCCTAATGCAGAACCTTTAAGGGACGTTCCCACCGAAACTGTTTTGCAGACGTTCGTTAAAATCAGGCTCAAAACCATAGCCCTCAGTTCCATTCCGCCCTAATTCGAGACCTGAACCTTTGACTCGGCTGTTATCACCTGCGAACAACCAGCTACCACACGGCCGCTAACAGTCTTGTTGAATGGTTGCATCATCAAATGAACTCCGCAGTTACCGCCTTGTAGTCAAACACGTAATGGTCGGAGCGATTATCAATTATCCTTCTCGGCATTGGCAAAACGGTCAAGGGAGACTTAGTTTGTTGCCCCACTGAACTGGCTTTTGGCAATGCTCAGATCTTCTGTCGAGCTAATGGTAGATTCCAGGGTCACTGGCGAACTAGAACTAACTTCCTCTTTTGAACTATTGCGACAAACTTTTACTTCAGACCTAAACACAAGGCCCAAATTCGGCCCGGAAATCAGTAAGCCCGCGCTGATTTGCTAATCTGCCTTTCTGTTTTTGTGCGCTTCCATGCGGAAATCAACCCTTTGACACCGCCTTATGAGAGTCAAAGCAAAGACGCTGCTCGAAAAAAGCAGTACTCCTATTGAAACACAGGAGTTCTATGCCCTCTGTTTGCCAGTATAGGTAGAAACAAAATATCAAAGCAAGCAATGGAACTGACAAATCCCAGTATCCGTTTACCCAAACCAAGCATAAATCCCACGTACACCATTCTAAATTTACCGCCGAAACATGAAAAGTACACAACGCACCATAAAAAACACAAATAAAAAGCCAATAAAAATGCCATTTAGGCTAATGACCACAAAAAGCTGAAAAAAATAAGGAGCGCACGTTCCCCGAATAAAGCACATGAATGGAGTCAGCAGGGTTAAAAATTGTTTGCACAGAGCATTTCAAAATACAAAAATATTAAAGTCCAACAATGATTGCAGGGTTTGGCAATATTGTGGTAAGCGTTTGGTCAAAACTAGAGGTGACACCATCAGTGAGCAGTTGTGTACCCCAGTAGCGCGGAGTAGCGTAGAGGAGTCACGGTGTGAGTGCACTGAGCTTGGTCTGCGTACGATTTCATACTGCCGTGGTTGTCCGTGGAGACCAGAAACCCTATTGATTAGGCTTTCGATCCGCTTTCAGCTGGGTTAATAAGCAGATGACCATTGACTTTGACTCCTTGGACTTTGCGGACTTCGTCTGCTTACTCTAGTGACTGAGTCCATCGTCAGTACAAGTTGTCCAATCGCAATTTCCATCGAAGTTAGTCGATCGTTTTGTCGGCCGTTTGCTAGTAGTGTTACGTATACTGCGTCCATTTCGACGTGCCAATTGATTGGATGTGTGGTGGAGTACCAGGCTTCCAAAATCCCTTTTTGAATGTTTGGTACTTCATGTGCTCTGATCTTTACATGCTCCAGACGGAGGTAGTGGCCTTCCTAAGCTACACGCTCAGAAGCAAATAAGTGCGAATCATGCATTCTGATGGCCACCTTGTGTTCGGTGTTTCGTGTACAAAACATTATTCTAGCTTGTCCGACGTAGTTTAAATCGCAGACATTGCATTTCTCTCGTAGGTGGTATTGCATTGGTCAGCATGATCGATATTTTCTTCAGGTCTTGCTAATTATTTCCCTAGGGTGACACCTGAATTTTAAGCCACACAGACACCATGTGACTGCAGCAATCTTCCTGTTATTTCGGAGACGTTCTTGTTGTAAAGGAGCGTTAACCGATTGGTAGCTGGCGCAAGTGTCAGTTGCTGCGGTTCTCGAGCCAGCCGTTGGGTTAATCCTCTAATAAAATGTCTCGGAAAACCGTGGTATTTAAACACAAGGTATAGGCAAAATGTTACCTGGTTCCGCGATTCCGCTGTGCTGCAGTGCGTTTTCGCTCCTTTGAATATGGTTTGAATGAAGCCCCGATTGTGTTTCATCGATTGATCGCTGTGGTAGTTTAATACCTGGTCCTTATGCGAGTTCTTCTGATACATGCAAGTTTGCAGAGGTCCGTCGTTATACATGGTGAATAGTGCATCCAAAAATAGTAAAATTTTATCCTCTTTTAAATCATTCGTAAATTGAAATCTTCGAATGGGGTGTTGAGCATATCGTGCGTGGCCTGTACACTGTTCCGTTTTACATTGACTAATGTGTTGTCCACGTATCGTATCCAGTTTTGTGCTGATAGATGACAGCGCAATAGGTTCTAATTTCTGCAGTAGGGATTCTACAAGGAGCATCGAAATTGGGGATGCCATGGGTGTTCTTCTCAGCTGCAGGTACATTTGTCCAACCGAGCGGAAATAAGTGGTCAAGCAGGGGTTCAGGAGTTCCAAATAACTTTTATGTGTTAATGGTTGTCTTTGGGCTTAGTTGATTTTCAAATAATTCCATCATGGTTTGTTTAGCCAAGTCGTGACCGATTGGAATTACTTGTGAGGTAACGTCGAGTGAATGCGTTATTTCCTCATCCTCTATTCTGGCGCACCGCGGTTGTTTGGGGAATTTGTTTGGCAACAGCATGCTTCAAAACGCCTGTATTTGGGAAACTACTGCCTGCCAAAATGCTTGCACTTGCTAACGGCTCTGTTTCCTTTCTTAATGCCTGTGAACGTACGCGCTACCCCAGGGTACAAACCACAGGCAGTTGCTACACCCTTCACCCGCTTAAAGCTTAGAAATGCCATACGAAAATCTAATGATCGAAGTGATGCAAACTGACGCACTCAACCGCCTACACAAATACGAGAAAGTAGCAATGGTAAACAGAACCAACTGCTTCATTACTATTGACCCATTGCTACAAATACCGCTGGAATCGGCAACCAAACGTCCAGTCAAAAGCACACATAACCGATGCAGGATTACACGGAACACAACGTTAGACAATCTAAAAGAAATGCCTGCACTAAAGGTGCTAATCAGATCAAAAACTTTACCCGCCACCTTACTGCATCTGAAGAGGATGTCTTAATTAAGGAGTTTAAATTCAACGTCAAAGCAGCTTGTCCAAAAGCCTACTTGGCTAGCTTAGTAAACACACTAAAATCAAATGGAATGTCGTAGGTGTCTCAGCAACAGACACGGCAGACAGTTGTCCCAGTGATTACCCGGAAAATAGTCACCCAGACCTTAGTCAAGGAGGAACGGGATGCAGGCAGACGTCCGCAGAGAGACGAAAACGTTGTACTACTACCAGCGGACAAAGGACGCATGACAGTGGGAATGGACAAAGCGAAGTATATTAACAAGACCAAAAACTGCAATCCGACACAACTACATAGCCCCACGTCGATCAAGATCCAAGTTCAAACCTAGGCAACCAAACCAACGCAAAGCTGAAGAAAATACCAACTAAAAATGAGCTCACAGCCACGGAGAGTTGGAGCATGAGGGCTGATGATACTCACATTGCGCTGTTCCATGGAGTACCAAAAGTAAATACTGATGTAGGTTTCTTACGACCAATTGTCTCGCTCCACAGAACCCTATCATATATACTAGCGATAAATTTGTGAAGGGGATTGCAATACTTGCTAGCTTGATCCGAATATGGCATCAACAATGCTGCAAATTTCTCAGCAAACCGCGGTGCGTCAGAATAGAAGATGAGGAAATAATGCATTCACTCGACGTTACCTCACACGTCATTCTAATCGGTCACGACTTGGCTAAACAAACCATGATGGAATTATTTGAAAATCAACTAAGCCCAAAGACAACCATTAACACATAAAAGTTATTTGGAACTCCTGAACCCCTGCTTGACCACTTATTTCCGCTCGGTTGGACAAATGTACCTGCAGCTGAGAAGAACACCCATGGCATCCCCAATTTCGATGCTCCTTGTAGAATCCCTACTGCAGAAATTAGAACCTATTGCGCTGTCATCTATCAGCACAAAACTGGATACGATACGTGGACAACACATTAGTCAATGTAAAACGGAACAGTGTACAGGCCACGCACGATATGCTCAACACCCCATTCGAAGATTTCAATTTACGAATGATTTAAAAGAGGATAAAATTTTACTATTTTTGGATGCACTATTCACCATGTATAACGACGGACCTCTGCAAACTTGCATGTATCAGAAGAACTCGCATAAGGACCAGGTATTAAACTACCACAGCGATCAATCGATGAAACACAATCGGGGCTTCATTCAAACCATATTCAAAGGAGCGAAAACGCACTGCAGCACAGCGGAATCGCGGAACCAGGTAACATTTTGCCTATACCTTGTGTTTAAATACCACGGTTTTCCGAGACATTTTATTAGAGGATTAACCCAACGGCTGGCTCGAGAACCGCAGCAACTGACACTTGCGCCAGCTACCAATCGGTTAACGCTCCTTTACAACAAGAACGTCTCCGAAATAACAGGAAGATTGCTGCAGTCACATGGTGTCTGTGTGGCTTAAAATTCAGGTGTCACCCTAGGGAAATAATTAGCAAGACCTGAAGAAAATATCGATCATGCTGACCAATGCAATACCACCTACGAGAGAAATGCAATGTCTGCGATTTAAACTACGTCGGACAAGCTAGAATAATGTTTTGTACACGAAACACCGAACACAAGGTGGCCATCAGAATGCATGATTCGCACTTATTTGCTTCTGAGCGTGTAGCTTAGGAAGGCCACTACCTCCGTCTGGAGCATGTAAAGATCAGAGCACATGAAGTACGAAACATTCAAAAAGGGATTTTGGAAGCCTGGTACTCCACCACACATCCAATCAATTGGCACGTCGAAATGGACGCAGTATACGTAACACTACTAGCAAACGGCCGACAAAACGATCGACTAACTTCGATGGAAATTGCGATTGGACAACTTGTACTGACGATGGACTCAGTCACTAGAGTAAGCAGACGAAGTCCGCAAAGTCCAAGGAGTCAAAGTCAATGGTCATCTGCTTATTAACCCAGCTGAAAGCGGATCGAAAGCCTAATCAATAGGGTTTCTGGTCTCCACGGACAACCACGGCAGTATGAAATCGTACGCAGACCAAGCTCAGTGCACTCACACCGTGACTCCTCTACGCTACTCCGCGCTACTGGGGCACACAACTGCTCACTGATGGTGTCACCACTAGTTGTGACAAAACGTTTGTAACAGACGTGGTAGGTTTTGCGACTTTTCAGCCGCCAGCTGTACCACCTGAGCTATTAATCTTTAGTGATATTTCCAAATAATTTTATCGTCTGTTGATGTCATCGGTGCACGCGTTAGCCGGCACGATCATATTTTTCGGAGATTGTTTTACAGTATGCACATTGTGTTGCATTTTTACATTGGGAAGTTTCATGTGGTGAATAGTTCAAATATGAAGTGTCATTTGTTTGTTTCCATGTAGATGTATCGTTGTGTAGAATTTGTTGGCTGGGATATTGCTACGGTCGTTATTTATACAAAATAAATATGGCATGCTAACTAGTAACATACTTTTGTGTTCCCGTAAATATATAGGTGTAGGTGTTGGTGGGCGTTGTTAGTTTACTTGTGGTATGTGACTGAATTCATGCTTTTGTTTGCTGTGATCGCCACCGTACGAAGGGTTAAGTGTATCTCTACTAATTGGATGACGTTTTCAAAGTGAGACCTAGATAGACGCTGTTTTTAATTTTCAGCGTCTTTTGGTTTCGGTGCCGCTTGGATTGTTGTGTGTGATTCCACTGATCGCCGATCTCATTTCACGGATCAGCGTTCGGTTTTCCTCTCTGTACCCACAGGGAGGTTTGCCTGTTTTTCCACCATCATCAGTACACACCTTAGCTTCAGATCGAAAGTACCTAAGCTAAGTTGC